ATTTCGCTAGTCCAACAGTACTTGTGCTCTAGGGTCAGTTCGAGGTTTAGATTCTGTTGAAGCTCTTCCGGGTAGCGTACAAATGGTGGGGTTTCAAGCTCTATTCTTCCCAGGGGTGGTGGCTCGTAGTTGTGAAAATCAGGCTCGCGTATTTCCAATATAGCAGCAAAGGATCTGCTAGCCATTGCCCGTCGTACGTGTACAGAACCTGCTGGCAGAGGCTCAAGCGAACTTTGTTAGCGGGCAACTTCAGCTCTGCTACTAAATGGATTTCGGCTACGACTACGAATATTGCGGATGTTGCCCGTTGTCTCTTTTATGTTGGCGCCTTGCCAGCACTTTCGATGGTCAGTGTTCCGCTGCCATGACGACGATCACGCAACCATTGGCCGTCGTACTGCATGTGATTCCTCGTTGGTTCCGAGCTACACAGATGTGTTGAGACCAAGTGTCAAGGCCCGAATGAAGTGCTGGCCTCTTGCTGGTGTACACGCCAGCACCTTCTCGCATACCACGGCGAAACTCACCATGGTACTCGTCACCATTGGCAAATCTGTACCTATGTAGAAGTCAGGCGGAAGAATGTCACGGATGCGCACGCATACGTGCATGGCAATATCAGGTTCAGACGGGGCACATGCCGTGGCCTTCGCGTGGCGGCTTTGGCCGACGCTCCAGCACAGGCAACTTGTGTGCCTCACGCGCGAAGCTGCAACCGACACGAGGGTGGCGGCTCAGTCAGTGCCGGAGTGCGTGAATGACAAGCGGCAAGCACGAGCCTGTAACCACGTCCTTCCGCCATAGGTTCGTCTGAGCAGTCAGTTGCAAGAGGTGAACATACTTCTGCATCGCGAGGATGGGTCCTCCTCGACTCAACACCTATGCTTTGTCATACTTTCGAATTAAGCTGCCCGTAGATATCCCTAGACCATACACACTGCTGCCCCAAGCCAAAAAGTGCCGAAGTGGAGGTGAGGCCAGCACGAAACCCATCTTTGTAGGAATGGTAGGCCGAATCGACTCAACTCGGACTTCTGTTGCTTTGAGGCGGCCTCCCAACGTGCAGAAAGGGCCCTACTTTGAGGCTTATAGGGCTTGAGGACCAGACCGCATTCGGCACACTCACGTAGCCTCCAGTCCTGCTGAGAGGTCGCGCTCGGGCCCTGCGATTTTCGCAGTGGCCTTGAGTTTAGTATCCCTATATTGCCCTTAAAAGGAAGTTTATATATATATATATATATATTTCTTTTTCATGGGACTGGAGGATGCTGTGAGGCATGTGAGGCGCCAGCCGCCAACAGGCGAGTCCAGTACGCGGTGAATGCATTGCGATCTGCATCCACAACGGCAGCCTCTTACCAGCGAAGATTCTCTGAACAGCTTCTTTCGCATTTTCAAGCCCTAAACCCTAAACCCTAAACCCCAAAAACAAGTGGCTCATGATCGATGTGTGCCGCAGCTTTGGCAGTCTGGGGTCACTGCCCAGGCTGCCTCTTGTCGCAGCTGCTCCTCTCCATGCCATGGTTGATCCCGTGTGCAATGCCCAGACCCCAAACCCTAGACCCTACTAAACCCTAAACCTAAACCCTGAACCCTAAACCCTAAACCCCTACAAGCTCCTTCTGTGTGTTGAGCACGGCGGCGGTCGCCACGGCCTGCTCCGTGTGATGACAGCTACTAACTGCTTAAGCACCCTCTCCCCCCCCCCCAAAAAAAAACTATATATATATATATATTATATATATATATATTATATAAACTTCCTTTTAAGGGCAATATAGGGATCATTGTTCTTGTAACTCGTTTTGGGACCTTTAAGAATATTATAGGTACCATCACTTCTAAAACCCCTCTTATGGGGCCCATAAGCAAACAGCAGCCAGGACGACCCGTCTTGGGGCGCTAACGCAAGCTCCGGCGCCTCAGCATCCTGAACAAGCTCCTGGCACGGAAGCAGGTCTGCTCACATGTATCTCTCTCTCTATATGTATATATATATATATATATAGATATATGAATACTGTTATTGTATTATTTATTGACATATACATACATGTATAGACATAAACATAAGTAAATAAGTAAAACAAAAATCAAACACAACAATAAATATAAATGTAACATAATATGACTATAACTATACATATAAATATAAATAAAAAACAAAGATATACATATATATATATATATATATAAGCTCATATATATATGCGTGTATAGACAATATCGTAGACATATATGTGTCTGTATAATATAAATATAAATATAAATAAACAAATATAAGTAAATAAATGAATATATTGATTATATGGAAGGCTGGCGAGCTGAACGAAAGGTTGCACGGGATGGCAATGACGTGCAATGACATCACCAGGACCAACTGACTTGACCCATCATCAAGCAAAGAATTCTTGTATAGAACGATTCAGACAGTGTTTAGCGGAGCCCCTGCCAGCCTCTGCATCAGAGGAGGCCACTGCGGCCTGCGAAACAACAAAGGAGCTGCAGATCATCTTGCAGGAGAGCAAGTTGAGCAATCGAAGGGCTGCACCTGACCCACATCCACCGAGGATGAGCTACGCTGGTCCGCCACCAGCTCCTCCTCATCCTCCTCCTCGGTGTTCTCCTTCCGGTGGGAGTACGGGGGGGTGGAGTTCAGATACCCTCCTCGGGGTACATTGGGGGACGCCGAAACTACCTGCATGTCATTCATTTTCTCCTGCGCGCCGTAGGCTCACGTTACTTGCACGTCTGAAGTCCGCTGCACCGGCACACGCATGAGGAGGCGAGTAAACAATGTTACGGGCGTTCTGCCCAAGCAGTGATCCTGCGGCTCGTGTGAGATCTTCGCACTGGGCGGCTGCCTGAGAGGAAAGAGGCAGACATGTGCAGGAACTCAGGCATTGCAGGCATTGTAGACCCAGGCACCGCGCAATGCAACTTTACGAACATCCGAGCCTCTGATTAACCACACATGCAGAATTAACCCCCTTCTCCACTTAAGTTCGAGGTGTGGCTCAGAGTTAGAATCTGCAGCAAGAATTGGGATGACGTACTGTTTCACCGGCTGGATCGGTAGCCGATGAATTTTGCCGACATGGTCTCTGGAAGAGAACGAAAAGTCCCCACATAAGTCTAAACAAACTTGAAGATCCTGCGTATTAATCTTGTCTTTACTATGACTATTTAGATTTTATCCGCTGCAGGCTGTGATCTGAATGCGCAGAGAAACATTTCACTTACGCGGGCGTTGCAAAGCCCCAAATGATGTTGTGTTTTGATGAGTCAGCCTTGCGTGCATTTTTTGGATGCGGTCTTTCAGACTGTCTTTCAAGCTCATCCGGCGGCTCTGCTTCGAGCTGAGGCCGCCCCGATTCTAGGGGTGGTCGGGCGAGGGGGGGGGGGGGTTTGGTGGGGGGTTTAGGGCTTAAGGCTCTGGTTGTGAGACTAAGACTAGTGGGGGTGTTTTGGGGGGGGTGGGGGGGGGGGGGGTGGGGGGGGGGGGGGTGGGGGGGGGGTGGGGGGGGGGTGGGGGGGGGGGGGGGGGGGGGTGGGGGGGTGAGGGGGGGGGGTGGGGAGGATTGATCAGAGGCTCGGCGTGCTGCATGATTTTGTGCTGTCTGGGTGCCACAGCTCGCGGGGTGCGGCGGCGTCAAGATGGGCGCAAGCGCTCTGCAGCCAATCCTGACGAATTGGAAGCTTCTAGATTCTAGATGCCAAGTGCTTCTTATACGCACTACTTACTTGAAGAACGTCTAAGAGGGAATCTAAGAGACATTCCTAGGTTCGGGCATGTGCCGGTTGTGAAACTTCGGTTTCAAGGTTTGAGGCGTAGGGCGTTCTCCCTGGTGTAGGGTTGAATGTTTGGTGGTTTTAGCCTTGAGCTTGCGAATGGCTCGCAGGTCATCGTGGGACGAAGCATCCTTACAGGGAATTCCCAGGAGGCCCGTCAAGGAAGCCCTTCAGGGGATGGTCCTTGGCAAGGAATGGGCTTGAAAACTGGAAAAGTGCGCCAAATCAAGGGCCTCCTCAAGCGTTTCTTGTACCTTTCGTGTCTTGGGCTTTCAAAAGGTCCAAGTGAAAAAATTCTCTACCCTTCACAATCGGCGCGGTGTGACACAGCGGAAAGGCATCAGAAACGTCTGAAACTGACTAATGAGTGTTAAATTAACCCTAAACCGTAAACCCTGTGAGCAACGGACTTTGAAGGCTGCCGGCAAAACATGTAACTTCCCAGAAGTCACATCACGCAAACTGTTCTATGCACCCAAACCATCACGAGCAAGCACACGTCAAGCTAGGAAAGAAATCTGCGAAGACGTCAAGATGTCAAAGAGTAAAATGCGCTGATACTGCTGCCACATGCGACTAGCATCACCCTAAACCCTAAACCCTAAACCCATGAAAGCATGCCGTATGCCATGCTACGCATGTTTGATAGCGGCGGGACGATGCAGCAAAGGCCGGAGCCAAGCTGAGCCGCCGGCCTTCTCGGCGCCGGTGCACCTGCGGGTTTAGGGTTTATAGGGTATAGGGTATAGGGTTTAGGGTTTAGGGTTTAGGGTTTAGGGTTTATCTCGCACAACCCCGGAGATGCCAAGAGAGGATTCATATGAGGATTCTCTCATATGCTCATGACAGCACACCAGAGAAAATGCCAGAGATGCAGCAGCGCCCGACACCGAAGCCACTCAATGCAAACGCCAGACTTCATCACAGCATATCTCGGCTGATCACAGGGGCAAGATGCCCTCAGTGGCAAGCTTTGGCCTCTCCTGTAGTTCTGTACATGGTTCCAGGCACCAGTCCCCAATCTAGCGAACCCGTGCCTGCACAAAACGGCTGGAACTCGGTGGCTATGCAAGACCGAGATCAGTAGCAAAAGAAACCCACTATGCAGCGATCGGGCTGGAGCATCCATGGGGGTTGGTCCACTGCTCCAGCCGAACATCGTGAATTAAAAGCACAGGGTGTAATGGCATGTGCCTGGAAGCTTTGATTTACAGCTCCGACTTGCCAAGCTCGGGGGTGGCTGAGGCCGCCGTCCGCGTCACTGCCTTGGACTGCATGAAGTTTGGACCCAGGAACTTGTTGCGGCGACTGCCCCGCTTTGGTGCCACAGCTTGGGCGAAGGCGGGCTCTGGCTGGCATTGCGAATACCACTCGTTGTCCACCACGCAGCGGAGGCCCTCCACGCAGCAAGTTGGGCCGGCATGGTTTCGCCCTCCACACTGCTGCCAGGCTTTGGCGCAGGACGCCGCCACGGTCGTTGCGGGTGCCGTCGATGACGTGGTCGTCCCCGCCGTGGTCGTTGCAGTGCTGGGCAACTCGGTGCTGCTGGTGGGACTTTGGTAGCTGAGGCAGGTGAAGCCCGGCAGCGGGATGGAGGCGCGGATGCCTTGGGGCCGCGTCCAAACTTCGCAGCGGCCGATTTTGAACTCCACCCCCTTGCAGCCCTCCGTGACTTCGCATTTTGCTTTGCAAGCCTCCAGGTTAACAAGGCCGGGGATGACGGTGTAGTACTCTGCAGCGTTGTCATCGGGGGACGCCCCGCGGCATGCTCGGCCGTTGCCGCCGTCCATTGGAACCCAGGTGCCCACTGCGGGTGTTGTCGTTGTCACGAGCGGGCCATCGTAGCGCATGCATGTGAACCCCGACAGGGGAATGGATGCCTGGATGCCCTCCGACCGCACCCAGACCTCACAGCGCTGGCGCGAGAACTCGATACCGCGGCAGCCGGCCGTCGTGGCACAGCGCATCTGACATTCCTTCAGCGATGCCACGCCCTGGGCAAGCTGGTAATACTCTGGTTTGTTGTCGCTTCGGCTGCTGCCTCGGCAAGCACGGTCCTCGCCCCCGTCCACGGGCTCCCAAGCACCCGGAGCGGCGCTTGACGTGGTTGTCGCGGAGGTAGTGGAGGTGGTGGTGGTGGTGGTGGTGGCTGGCTGAGACGTGGGCGGAGAGCCAGGGTAAACCGACTGGGTGGTGCCAATCTCACCGATCGCCGCATTGGCGAAGACGACATAGCCGAGCGGATGCTTGCTGCGCACGTTTTGCGGGGAGCTGTCCTCCCCACCCGAACACATTCCACGGTGGACCCCTGGCTCGGTGCATTCCTTGTCTTCTGGATAACAAGAATCCAGCCACATCATGTGAACGTCGATGTCGTCCCACAGAGAGAAAGCAGCGACGTGGCCACGCTCCAGAGACTCGCCCATGGCCTTGTTGCCACCTTTCTCCTGAAAGTCATTCTTGTTCTCCTTGGTAAACCCAGAGACCATCTTGTAATAAGGGCACCCTTTTGGGGTTGGTTACTTTATAAGAGCACCTTGAACCAAAAAAAGGGGGCAACAGGGTACCACTGGACACCAAGTCTCGAAGAGGTCCTTCATGTCCGCACACATCTCGTCAGTGATCGAGTCCGGAGTTTGCGGGAGGATCGTGATGTGTGGACTTGCAATGGCCCGGCCATCCTGGACGTAGAAGCGCCGAATCTCCGAGAGGTCGCCGGCATCTGTGCCATCCGTGGTGAGGAACTGTGTCACCACGGTCATAGGCCTGGACGAATCCACTGCGAAGCTGCTTCCCTGACCATAGAAAGTCGCATTGCCGCTGCGGAACGGGTTGATGTCACAGCCGTCCTTGTCGCAAAGCCCGTCATAGCGCTCCCCACTGTCGTTGTCTCCGCACTCAGTGCCTTCGCACATGTACGTGCCTGGGGCCTGGATGTTGCATGGGTGGGGAGTGTACGCCGTAGCCATATTGTTGGCCTCCCAGATGTCCATCTCGGCACAGCAGGCGCCATAGTGGCCGAGGCCAATGGTGTTGCTGAAGTCCTTGGGATGTGGCTTCCAATCCTTGGAGTTGGCCTTGCCATCGATGAACTTGACATCGTGGGGGCACTGCGCATCGCAGTATCCAGTGCCATACTTGGCGCCCGCGGCATTGTAGCCCAGGCCCTTGCCACCGTCGGCGGCCATCTCGATGAAGTACATCGCGCCGTTCATGCCGCATTCCACCGTCGAGGAGTCAACGTCCACGGCAAACTCTCGGTTTTTGAGCTTAAAGAGCTTGTAGCTTTCGTCATCTTCCAAAAGGAAAAGACGGGACCCAACGTTAGAGCCCGTGACGAAATTCAAGCGAACTCCTCCTGGCACAGCGGTGATGCCATAGATGCTCTCGTACTGCCCAGCATCCACTGCTTCAAGGGCACAGCCCTGGGCACAGGTGTCCGGATCAGTGCAGATGCCGGTGTCCCATTGGTTCCCAGTGTAGCAATTCTTGTACCCATCCGTTGTGTGGATCCAGCGCCAGTTGGCATCTAGCACGAGTTTGTGCTCCTTGGTGACGCAGCCGCCAGCTTTGGTACACTCCTTTACTGCCATCGTCGGATTGCCTTCATCTTTCCTGGTTCATGTTTGGGACAGTAGCAAAGATTCAAAATTCCTGTTCCTTATTGAGTTTTTAAGTACCCTTAAACATGTAAAATGTTACCCCGCGATGACAAAGTTTCAACGTTCCGGCTTGCTGTGCTGAGCACAGTGGGAGCAGGAGAAGGATGCGGAGTGCCATGGCAGTCTGACGTCTGCTCTCCTCCGTGGCGAGCTGAGTCAAACCTGGACCCTTGTGCTTCAAATGGCTTGGCCCGCAGTCAGCCATGTCTTTCGGGGCTTTGGGGGTTTTAGGGTTTTCGGGTTTAGGGTTTAGCCTATTGGGCGCTCTTGCGATGACAACCTCACTGCAGTGAATCCTTTGGAGCTTACTCACTTGCTTTCGGGTTTAAAGAGGCATGGCATGATCCTGCTTGTCTCGCGCCTCGCTAACTCCTTCACCTCTTTGCACAAGAAGTCCACGCTGTACTCGGTGCTGGCTGCGGTGCTCGGCACCTGCTGGACAGGGAGCATTGCAACTCAATCTGCCGCGTCCCCCAGTTCATGCTCTAGCAATGCTTGTGTTTAACTTAGTAGCCAAAATTCACATTGAAAGCACGAACAGAACAAAATGACGGCAAACCGTCTTTAATTTGGCAGTAGAAGTAGCTTTTCATAGAGCTTCCATCAAGATTTCATCCTAAGACCGAACAAGCTACGGGGGCGGTGTTCGTCGTTGGTTCCCATTCGCGCGGTCCTTCGGAGCCATTATACCAGTAAATGCACACGGCATGAATGCGAAGATGCACCTCTAATTCGATCGCAACAACGAAAAATATCGTGATGTAAGATTCTTCGAGCAAGCTCCTTCATGAGATTCTCTGTCAATGCAGCAGCACTGGCAAAAAGATTCTTTCTGGAACAAGGAGTGCTGGCAAATCTATACTTCGCTTTCAACATCTTTCAACCATAGAAAAAATGGTGTTTGTAATTTTCTCCTGAGTTTTGTATGAACGAAAGTAGAACATAATTCCTAAGGGAGCCATAGATTAGGATTCTGGTTCATGCAAGAGTCTAAGGCCCCAAGGCCCTAAACCCTAAACCCTAAACCCTAAGCCCTAAACCCTAAACCCTAAACCCTAAACCCTAGCCCTAAACCCTAAACCCTAAACCCACAAATGGGCGCCTCCAGGATGAGGTCCGGGCTCGTGCGGTCGATGAAGATGCGGTTCGTGGTCCCGATGAGAAAGCCGCGCATCTGGAGCAAGCTGTCCAGCATGTGCAGGCCCAGGTAGGGGAAGACCTGTAGGGTTTAGGGTTTAGGGTTTAGGGTTTAGGGTTTAGGGTTTGGGGTTTGGGGTTTGGGGTTCAGGGGAAGACCTCGACAGGCGCTGGCGTAGAGACTATTTAGCCACCCAAATCATACTGTGGTCCGGCGACGAGCAGAAAACTCTGACTGAGCACCGGGCGCAGCACCTGGGGCCGAAGCACTGAATCGGAAGCCCGTGCTTCCGATACTGAAAGTGCCGGCTTCCGAAGCCATCTGAGTTGAAGCCTAGCCAGAGACCACCTTGGTAGTTCAGTAACATCTTAGAATAAGGGCTCCCTTTGTGGCTTGGTTACCTTATACCGGAACCAGAAGCCAAAAAAGAAGGTAAGGGGTACCAATGGGCTACCAAGCCACCCGGCAGGAGGGAGAGTAGGGCCAGTACAATGTGGCTGCACTGCTCGGCGCTCTCTGAAATCACCTCAGCGTCGCCGAACGAACTTTGCAGCTCTACCGAGCAGACACGCAGGCATCGAGCAAGTCAGCAAATTTGAATCACCTGAGGATGGCACGAGGACCTTTGCCTCCAGCAGAATCGCTTTGAGCACGCTGAGCAGCTTGTGTCGCAAGCCGCGAAAAAGCTGTGCGTGATGAATTCCAAAAAACAACTCCGTGTCCTCGAAAACAACAGGGTGGCAAGGCCGAAGAAGCACAATGCTCAGTGCAACTGCTCAGCAAGTGCTGTCGCAGAGAACATAATTGCTGGTCAGGGCTCTGGAAGTCTTTCAAAAGGGACGGAATCCAGCCTGTCTCCAGGGAGCCCAATACCCCTTAATTCAGGAACACACCTTAAGGTTCATTCTCTTATTTAAGGACCTTAAGGTTCATTCTCTTATTTAAGGACCTTAATTAAGGACCACACAGGTTCATTCTCATATTTAAGGGGTATTGGGCTCTTGGGGCCTCTGGACTCTCTGAACATCAGTTTTGAAAGTTCCAAGGCTTCGCGACCGCTAGGGGTTTTAGGCGTGGCTTTCGTTCGGCCAAGCCCCCATTAGCAAAGGCGCTGGTTGTCGAAATCGCGCAAGAGGTCCGTGCACCGGAAGTCGCGCTGTTCAAAGAAGACCTGAAATTTTGGAATGTCCAGCTTAGATGCTGCTTTCCGGATACAACTAGCATCTGCTACGAAACGAGCTGAAGAAGCCAATGCTCTCGCTAGAGTAGGATGCACAGTCGTTTCGTGCTGGCACCTGCACCCATCGCCTAAATGAGCCGGAGCCTGAGGTCTGTTTTGACTTCCCCCTCGACCCTGAACCCTGTTGAAGCTGGACCCGAAACCCTGAACCATAAAAACCTAAACCCTAAACCCTTTTTTAAGACTGGAACTGAGGCCAGGCAAACCCTCAACCCTAAACCCTCAACCCTATAAACCCTAAACCCTAAACCAACGTTCCCAACTCCCTCGCCTGCGTCACCGGACTCAGGCGCTGCTGGGCGAGGCCAAAAAAGGGGCAGCGCAGCAGCACGCAAACAGCTTTCTGCACTGAACTGCGTGATACCTGAGCGGATTGAGGTTCAGGGAGGGGTTCAGGGTTTAGGGTTTAGCCAGACACACAACAATGTGGTCGCTACACTGCCTACATGTCTTGCAGATTGTGCACCGAGCATCTTGCAAACGAGGGGCACTTGCGTCACGGTGCAGCAACTCAGACGCTTCAACCTTCGGCCCACGGGCAAGACACATAAAGAGAAGGAAGTGCTCAGGAGAGGCCAGGCACCCAGGCGCAGACGAAACATCCTAAACCCTAAACCCTAAACCCGAAACCCTCAGCAGCTCAGTGCTCCAAATCTTTGGCTCTTGGTCAGCTGCTCTTCGGTGGCAGCTCACCCCGTAGAGCAGTTGGCCGTGGCCTGTGTGGGTTTCGGGCGGATTTCCTTGTATATCCGATGATCGTGATGGTGATTTGGGGACCCCAAGACCAAAACTCCTAGGCATAGCCAAAGCTCATTGAGAGCACGTTTGGGTGGTCGATACCCTATAAGCCCTAAACCCTAGACCCTAGACCCTAAACCCTAAACCCTAAACCCTAAACCCTAAACCCTAAACCCTGAACCTTTCTTTTGCATCCGGACTGCGGGAGCCAATCAGCCAGACAACTTGCAGCACTGCCGACACTCAAGCTCTCCCGGCTAAACCCAAAACCCCCAAAACCCTACTTGGAGGTTCAGGGTACCTATTAACCCAATGCTGACTGTACTTATAACCCAATTATAACCATATTAGGGAACCTAGGGGGCTTATAAGCGGGTTAAAAGTACAGATATAATTGCTCAATAAGTGCCCTGAACCTCCAAAGTATAGCAACTGAACAAGTGGGAGCCATGCTTCTGCCGAGATCCCGGCATGGCACCACGAAGAACACGGCCGACGTCTCCCCTGTCAGGGGTTTAAGGACTTCGGGGCTTAAGTGGGTTGAGGTCAGCTCTGTGATTTCGGATCGTGAACTGGCTCGCCGTACTCGGATCAGGGCCTTTGGGGGTTGTGTTTAAGCCATGCCCTAAATACTAAACCCTGAACAGAAGCTTATCAGGCGGTGGACGAGCCCCACACGTCGGCCCCTGAAAGCCCCCTCTCTCTCTCTCTCGCAGACTCGGGAATCCGTCAGCTGAAAGCCCTAAACCTCACAAGCCCTAAACCAACTCCGAGCTGTTTCCGCCACGGTCACGGCCTCCCGAAAGGGATAAGGGTTTAGGTCTTCCCAGTCATTTATAAGAGACCACAAGACCATAAGTTGTTCTTCGGTTTCGGTGCTCAGGGCTCAGGGGTTCGCAGCCCGAAATCTGGGTGGGGCAAACCCCTTCAATTGCAATTCTTGGGTTCTAAGGAGGTTTCCCGCACCCAGATTTCGGCTCCCGAATCCTGAGCGGTGGGCTTGAGCTCGCTTATAAATCCTACTATGCTTCAATGACTGGGATGCCAAACTAAACCCGAAACCGATTGGGCGAGCTGATTTAAGGCACTTGTGGCCCGCTGCCTGCGCCTTCGCAAGAAGACCATGACCCGAAACGGTGCGATGAGCAGAAAGGAATGTTCATCCCGGGATTAAGGGCTGTTAGTATAAGGGGGAACATCCCAATTTATACCACAGTTCAACAGTTACTGTTGTCGATGCCAGCAAAATGCCTTCTCGCTCGCGATGGGCAGCGTCCGGAAGCGCCAGGGACGTCACCATCGACAGCACCTCAGCCATGCCAGGCCAAACGACGACACCAAGAAACTAAGAAACAAAGAAGCAACGAACGAAAGAAATAACGAAAGAAAGAGATAGGTAAAGAACGCAAACAAGGAGAGAGGGAGAGAGAGAGAGCGAGAGAGAGAACAAGAAAGGAAGAAAGACAAACAAAGAATAAAGGATGAAAGGATGAAAGGAAGAAAGGAAGCAAAGAGAGAATAAGAACGAAAGAACGAACAAACTATAATAAAAATGAATAGATAAAGAAAGAAACTAAGAATCAAAGAAACAAAGAAACGAGGACACAACGAACGAAAGAGAGAGAGAGAGAGCGAGAGCGAGAGCGAGGGAGAGAGGGAGCGAGAGGAAGAAAAGTAAAGGAAGATCGACAGAAGGACAGAAATAAAGAAAGAAAAGCAAACCAAAAAATGAGAGACATCTATTTCTGCATATGTACACACAAACACATTCATAATGGTAGCTTCCAAGTACTGCAGCACGAGATGTCAGTTATGCCAAACATGCCAAGTACAAATTCGTCAGTAGCCAGCAAAGAGACCACATGCAAATTGCAAAACGAGCCATTGTCTAGCTGGGCTGCTTCTAAGTTAGAGCCGCCCTGCAGAGACCCTCAGGAGGATCACAACAGTTCTCGTGACACTGAGTTCAACGTCATCCTGAAAAGCCCTGAGCAGCTGGCGTGAGTCACTGACCCAGGCTCCACAGTGTGGGTTCGCCAACTGTCCAAAAGTGGAAAGTCCTGCTGACATCTGGGACTGTGGGCTGACCAAAGGATGTTGAGATCTCTTCCCCCTATTCTAGCAGTCCTGCTAGTACCCCGATTAGAATCCCTATTATTGACGGTGCAACATTGTCCGCTGCTTGTGAGCCCCCTCATCCCAAGAGTTCACAAAATGGGCCCGCGATGCAGAGAACTGACCAGATCAACAACCTCGGCCAGGCAGCTGGCTCGGAACATATCTCAGGTTGCTGCCTTCAGATAGGTTTAGGGTTTTAGGGTTTAGGGCTTGCGGTTTTGGGGTGAGGAAGCCCCCGCAAAAAATCGAAGAGTAACTCTCCACCATGCTCACATGATCTCGGAGAGTAGTCTTGGGAAAACGTCCGGGTGGAATCCCGCCGGGTATGTCTTGAGTGCCCCCAGCAAGTCTTGGAAAGAGCCGCTAAAGAGCTAAACCCTAAACCCTAAACCTCTCTACCATATAACCCTAAATGTTAAACACGAATTTGGAATTTAGACCCCCATTGTTCAGCACGAATTTGGCGTGTTGACCCGTCTGACCCGTTTGGCCCCCCCATTGTTCAGCACGAATTTGGCGTTTTGACCCGTCTGACCCGTTTGGGCCCCCCATTGTTCAGCACGAATTTGGCGTTTTGACCCGTCTGACCCGTGTGATTGTTTGGCCTCTTGGTGCGTCTGAACAGAAATTGAGAAAAACTTTTATTTTCTTCATGTTATGGGATTCTTTGGGCGGGTGGGTTTTTTCCGTAGCCTGCACACACTGCTGGCCTAGTAAATGCTCGAACTTGAGATGCTGAACCCTCAGCCCTAAACCCTAAACCCTAAACTCCCTGGAGGTGGACGCTCCAGGGATACTGGGCGGGATTCTCTGGGACTGGGCGCGCTCCTAGGATGCGCGGGGGCGTGAGCTTGTCTTGGGCGTCTCCGGGGTGGCTAGTCGAAGGATACTCGGAGGGGTTTAGGGTTTAGGGTCTGGGGTTTAGGGTTTAGGCGAAGTATCCTAACTTGGCCGGTCATGGAAGGATGCCCCCCCCATTCGGTGTGAGGTACATATGCTTGCCTGCTTGTTGTTTCGCTCCACGTCCACATTGAAAAGACTGACAGTACAAAGAAGCAGAAGAAGTATGCCCCATCCCCTTCCCAAGCCAGTCATCCTGTGCAGAATCCGCCGGCGCCGATGGCCCTTGCAAGGAGACCGTTGGCTCGGACGATCTTGTGACTACATGTCAGGCAACGTGGCGAATAGAAATTCCGACGCGAAAGTGACTGGGAGATCTTCTACCGGGTGAGTTTGCGCCGCCCTGTGTCTTTCACGGGGTTTGGGGTTTGGGGTGCATCGATGGACAGATGAAGCAGACCACATGGGATTGACAGTCAGGGTCTGATGGGCCAAAGACCCCGAGAACGAAGAGCCCGCAAAAAAACACTTAGCTAAGGATCTGGTATATGACCCCTAAACCCTAAACCCCAAACCCCAAACCCTAAACCCTAAACCCCAAACCCTAAACCCTGAACACCAAATATGCTAGTAGTCACTCTTCCACCCGGTGAAGCCCTACAGTTGGGCTGAAAAGGCCTGCAGCAGCTTCTCCCGCCATGATCTCAGTCAGCAGAAGATACCATGGCTTACATTTCTTTGTTTTGTTTTTATTTTTTTCGGGGGGTGGGGGGGGGGGTGTAAGGTTTAGGATTGGGGGGTTTCGGATTTGGGGTTTAGGGCTCAGGATTTCGGGTTTTGTCCATTGGGGTTTAGGGTTTAGGGTTTAGGATTTGGGGTTTAGGGTTTTTGGTAAGGTTGGAACCATGGGCCCTTAGTATGGTTCCTTGCCCTTGTTTATCGGGATCCGAAGTAGGCCCGTGTTGTACACTTTAGGTGTTTTTTAAGGGTAATTATGTAGCAAAGGACCCCAAATTAAGGGCCCATGCTGGAACCCTAGATTTAGGGTTCATCCGAGAGCTTCGCATTGCTATCATGACAGCGGGTGTAATTTGGGGTACTGAGGTTCCAAGCTCGGAACAGCATGCAAAAATACACCCTCAACCTTTTGTGCCCCTAAACCCTAAACCCTCGACCCTAAACCCTAGGCCCTTTGAAACCCTAAACCCTCTGAGGCCATGCCTCGCCTATTCTGAGGGTCGCGCTGATGGCGGGTGTGCCCACCTGAACCAATGGTAGGGGATCCGAAGTATGGGTGCTAAATGAGGGTCCCTACTTATTTAACTTAAATAATCACTTAGGGTTTAGGGTTTAGGGTTTAGGGTTTGGGGCACTTCGGATCCCAAGAAACAAGGGCAAAGGACCACACTTGAGGGCCCATGCTTCCAACTGTCTAAGCAGGGGAGCTTCTCGAATTTTGGGTTTCGAGCTTGGGGTGTGGGATCCTTTGGTTGTGCCCTATATCTATGGTCAGTTCTCCTAACGATGGTCCCTTTTTTCGGCACCTAAATCATCTGGGGCCCCCTTATAACAAGGACCCCAAGGACCCTAGCTTAGAGAACTCATTGAGTTGATATGGCTTCGCATCAGAATGGAATCCCCAAACGGGACCACGACATCGAGAACCCCCCGGGTGTGCTTGCTCTTGTGGGAAATTTAGAGTACAGGGGGGTTTTCGGCCCTCACGCTTGCACAAAGTTTTGGGGGTTAGGGGTCGAGGGTTTTCGGGTTTAGGGTGACCCCTATGCCGTTCCAACTCCTGAGGTCGGCGCTCGACGACAGGTCCCCGAGCATGGTGAAAATCCTCAAGGTTGCTGTTTAGGGTTTAGGGTTTAGGGTTTAGGGTTCTGATTCCAGTTGTCACTGGAGAGCGGTAGCTGGAATTTGATCCGAGGCTGCCTTCGAGCTTAGGGATGTCTAGCGCTTTAGGAGGTTCAGGGCCCTCGTTCACGCGGCAAAAAAACTTCCTCCAACTGAGACAGGAAAGGGCCCGGCAATCAAAAGGATGGCAGCCACGGGCCCACGACCTGCCAGGCGCAAGCAGGGAGCCCAGGAGCAGCCAATTACTATATTTGGGGCTACCCTTTCTTTCGGGGTTCCTTATTACAAGGGGATCCTACCATTTGGGGGTCTATTTTAGGTCCTGTTTTCGTAAACCCACATTTCTAGGCATGGGGTGTTGCCACGCCGATGACTTTTCCTCGCTTGAAGGCGGAAACATGATGGGGCCGGCTGGTGTGTCGGCTGAGCTAGGAGGGCTGCAGCAACTAGCGTAAGCCCGAATAGCAGCATAGTGACCAAGGATTACGGTGTCCTTGATGCAACCACAAGCTCAGTCGAGTTCCAGCAGTTGGCGTCCACATAATCGAGGCTCGCGTAGGATTGCAGATTGCAAAGCCGCGCGAGGACTAAGCCTCTGAAGCTCAACTACAGACCTCCCTCATATGATATGAGCTGAAGGTCGCGGACGTTGCACACCTTGGAGGTTACGGAAGCACTCCGAAACAAGCGCTCACAGTGAGAACATGTCTGAGAACCTGCAAATCAAATTGAAAACACTAGGTCCACCTTCAAACAATGCTTGGAGCTTTGGGGTGGAAAGCTTCGGAATACAAAAACTACTTGTGGGTAGTTAGAAGTGGTACATCAGTGGGGTACCCTGTCTGGAGTTATCATGGATATAAGTACACCTACCATGCTTGTAGCCCTACTTCTAACTAGCCATGTGCCTTCAAGTAGACACCAAAGGCGCTGCTTGCGGTAGAGGGTCGCTGCTGCTCGCTGCAGTCTCAGCAATGACCTCGAAAAGGTCACCTCGGTGTTCTGACTTCGACTCTGCATGCCAAAGCCCTAAACCCTAAACCCTAAACCCTAAACTCCCTAAACCCTAAACCAGCAAAGCGCTGCTTGACTTGGGGCTTTCCGAAATTAGGGGTGCCTTATTGGGGTCGTTGTAAAAAAAGGGGATCCTACCCTTTGGGGGTCTATATTCGGGGTCTCATATTTTCGTAAACCCCCGCTTAACAAACCGTGACATCTAAACGAGCATCCCGAAAGTTTGGGGTCTAAGCATGTCAAGCAGCCGTCGCTTTCAGAATGCCTGGATGCTTCTGGGCCTGATGACAATGACAGCACTTGGGTTCTTGTGTGCCATGCGGTTAAGAGGCGGCCCCCAAAAACGTGCATGTGATCGCCGTCATGAATCTGCCACCCTCAGATTTTTTTTGAGAAAGCACCCGCTAGAACCGCAACCCACGAAGTCTGCGCATTCGCGGAAGCCGACGTTTTTGCACCGAGCATGCTGCACAACGGAGCAAATAGTGAGCGGGTGAGCTCTAACGAAGGTGGATGGAGGCGCAACCTCATCCTGCATAGCCCTTTGCTGTACATGGGCAATGCGCAAAACCTGTACGATCCTGTACTTGTTTCACAAGGTACTGGGGGAAGTTGCTGATTTTGTTCAATTCGCACTGCTTTCATCTAACCGCTTAAGCATTGCACCACGGGAACAGCTGACACGTCACATTCAGAAGTGGTGGCCTCCGTGCGTGAGGGCCCCTGCAGAATGAAGGCCAGAGGTACACTGCAAGAGGGGCTGCTGAATGGGAGAGACGCTTCATCTGCGGCGAGCAGATGAGATCCCACGGCGGGTCATGGAAGGTCTGCGCGACCAGGTTTCGAAACTCTGCAACGGTCACATGCGGCTCCACAGTGTATGCCCGACACTTGTTACTTAAATCCCTCACCTCAATGTCGAGGGCCGTAAGAGACCGGAGGTGCCAGAGTCCCATGGCTTTCATCCTGGGGCTGATGGATTGAACATGCTCAGGAGAACTGAAATGGCAGCCGCAGCGCCCATCTGGGATGCTGACCGACCCCCACAAAGCCGTCCACAAGGAAGTGGCGCACTGGGCATATCCCTCGTCATCGTCACAAAGCTTGTTCGCATGCGATGAGGCGCATGCCAACGCCAGGCGCTCGGGGAGTTCCAAGTAGCTGTGAGATAGAACGGCTGGTCCGGCAGGCAACTTACCAATCCGAAACAGTTGACGATTCAGCGGCGCGACAGACCTTGGCATCGAGGCCCGCTTGACCGGCAGGTGATGCTCGAAGCACATGTCGAAGTCATGCCCTCCCGAGTCGATCGCTTGCCCACACAATACGCAGGCTTCTGAAGCTTCTGTCAACTCTGGTTCTGGTGCGGCCACCCCCACATACGGCACTATGGCCTGCGTGTAGGCCATGGCTGCAGGGAGGGGCTGCGGAAACTTGGGCAAATTGTGGGAACATAGAACTTACAGCAGAATCATGACCGATTGAAGATTACAACAATCAAACAGTGAGACATATATCTGAATAGAGCCACATCGTTCATGGGTGGCTTGGTCGTGCGCTGATCGGACTGACTCTCGGTGCTCCCTACTTGGCAACCTGGCCTCCATTGCCATTGTCATTTTGATCCACGTCCTCTCTCTTCGCTTCCTCCCTCACCTCGAGTCGGATTGTCCGCCTTAGCCCACAATGCCGACAAAGCGCTATACAGCACCAAGCATGCAATGCTCTATATACAAAAGGGGCCAGTCTGTCAGAAGCCATAACGATGTCAGGATGTACGCTGGGCAGCCATCCTTTCCGTGGGGTATGACTTCAACAAACAGGTATCTCAGAATTGTGCACGGTGGAGGCGGGGGGGGATGGGGGGGGGCATTTGGGTCAGAGGTATCTCAGAAGAAGCTCAGGACATCTCAGGATCAGAACAATTTCCGCAGGGTTCGCAGTTTCTTCTTCAGCTTTCCTGAAGCTCAAAACCTTCACAGCAGCATTCAACTTTAACTGACGGGCAGAGTAGGTGAAAGCATAGAGGTTATGCGACCATGCAGGGGTTGCTGATGGGCGGTCTCCAACAGGCAACCTGTAAACCCTACACCTCTAACCTCCCGGGGGTACCTGACGACCCTGTGACTCTGAGGGTATCTGACGGAGGTTATAGGGCGGACCGTGGCAAGGACGGAGGCCACCATTTCCTTTCTGTTCGCGGGGGGGGGGGGGGGGGGGGGGGGGGGAATCGTAATGGGCGGAGTACTTGACCGGCGGACCCTCTATCCTCAAACACATGAAAGCCTTTAATGCATGTGGCATGTGGGAAGTTCACAACTTATCTTAAAGAGGGGTTGGGAATTCTCGGCATCTGCCGCGGGCAGCGCTGACGGGATGCGGGGATGCGGCCGTGGCGCAGCTCTCCAGGCCCCAGGGTCGTGACCAGCACCGGTTTCCGGAAGAAGCGTCCAAAGTGATGCCTGATGCTCTGATTTCTCATGCCTCTATCAGCTGAGTGCTGAGTATCATTCCTTCCCTTCTTCGCAGCCGCGATGTTTACCCTAAACCCTAAACCCTAAACCCTAAACCCTAAAACCTTGCCATCCTGGGGCTTCTCAAGTGCAGGCAAGGGGCGTCGCACCTTGGTTCAGGGCGCGAGGCTAGATGTGGAGGTTTCGGGTTCCCCCTCTCGTTCGTACGGATATTTCGACACTCGCACACTTCTGGCAGATGTTTATAAGGCTTCATGCAACTGGAGTAGTGCCTTGGTTTCTGTTTGGAGGAAGCGTCTTCTTGCTGCGCTCCCGTCCTAGCACCTCCTTATGAGTCCTAAACATCTGCAAGCATTCTAAACCCTATAAACCCCAAACCCTAAACCCTAAACCCTAAACCCTAAACCCTAAACCCTGCGTTTAGGATTTCGGGAACAGACCTGCCTGTTCTCCGACGATGAGCCCGCAGGTTTGTTGCGGGCAGGCTGCTGACATCTCCGGTGCCCAGGTGGAAGAAGCGCAGGGTGACTTCCACCTTAGGAGGAAAGGATAGGGTTTAGGGTTTAGGGTTTAGGGTGTAGGGTCTAGGGTTTGAGAGTGTAATTCTGAAAATGACAAGACAAGGGGTTCAGGGCTTTGGGACTTCCAAGTGGAACCAGAACACCCAGGCACAGCCAACTGAAACCGACACTCCGACGTGGTGGGCATTTTGGTTTTGGTTCTTCGGGCCCGGATGCGTGCACCAAACCCTGGCATCAGCTGCTCCATAGATGGACTTTGCTTTGAGCGAGTTTAGTTTAGGGTGCCCTCTTGCATCTCGGCAGGAGTGCGAAGCGCGCGCACACGGATTTAGATACAGGCTTCTGGCTTGAAAAACACGCCATCTGCCAGGGCCCCTAACCTACCCTAGAATGAAGTTGACCACCTGGCTGTCAGGCAAATCGAGCTCCCAGAGTAGCTTATGTCAGAGAGACACCCCAGCTAAACCTTAACCTTATGCCGTATAGGCTCGGCTACGAATGGCAACAGCCATCAAGTATCACCATGGGACTAGCGGGATTTGTGGGGAGCCATCCAACCATGAGTTTTTAGTGGAAAATCTCTTCGGGCGCCTTTTATCCCCCTACATTAACCTTTAAGGTATCTCATTCTTCTCATTCCCTACAAAGAACCGCTAAGTTGAGCCACGCTCTAAACCCCAAACCCTAAACCCTCTAAACCCTCCAAACCCTAGCCCTAAACCCTAAAAACCCTAAAAACCCTAAAAACCCTAAAAACCCTAAAAACCCTAAAAACCCTAAAAACCCTAAAAACCCTAAAAACCCTAAAAACCCTAAAAACCCTCCAAACCCTCCAAACCCTCCAAACCCTCCAAACCCTCCAAACCCATTGGGCAAGCGTCGGCATCCTTGTTGGATGCACGGACTGTTGAAACGCGAAGGGTTGGGGCCGCCGAGGGCGCAGTTGGGACAGCGGAGGCTTCCTTAGTTTAGGCGCGGTCCCGGAAAAAAAAGCCACCTCGAACAGACTCCGGAAGAAAGAAGAAGGGTTTAGGGTTTAGGGTTTAGGGTTTAGGGTTTAGGGTTTAGGGTGAGAAACAGACCACCCCGAACAGACTCCGGAAGAAAAAGGAAGAGGACACAATGAAGAATCATGTGGCAGGCACAGCGATTTTGGTATGTCGCGAGCAAACCCCAGCACGCACTGCAAGAAGAAAACTGGTCACGACTTCGTGACCAATTTGTCGGGCCAACTACGTTTCAAAGTGCCATCAAAGAACTGTGCCCGCTGCCTGCCATCTGTCGGACGTATACATATATACACATATGCATATACATACGTTTACTAATAAGTACACTTCTAGCTTGAAGAAAACAGTTTTTCCTGCGCTTGTCTCAAATTATGAGACCAAAGTGGTCCTGTACATCCCTAAACCCCAAACCTTAACCCCCCACCTCCAAACCCTAACCGCAGCGCTGAAAGAAGCACCCCCTCGAAACAAGTCGTGTTAGAGAACAGGGTCAGGGGAATGTAGGAAAGCGTGGCAGGCGCAGCGAAGTCGTGTCATTTGACCAACCCCAGCGGTCACATCCAGAGAGCAAAATCGCGTCACGATTTCGTGACCAGTTTCTAGGGACATGGCTGCTCCCACGCACTGGTAACAGGGACGAAATCATCGCGCGGCCATGGCTCCGGCCATTCCTATACATAATCATCGTGCGGGCACGGATGCTCTGGCCCTTCGCATGCGCTGGTAACAAGCAGGGCGTTTTTTTTTTTTTTTTTTTTCGGGCGCAAGCCTTTGCTTAGAGTCTAGGGTGTGGGGCCTGTTTAGGGTTTAGGGCTGGCTTCTGGGTAGGGTTTAGGTCTTGCTTCTGTTCAGGCGGGTTCTAGGTTTCAGGCGGAAACGCTTTGGGCGCTTGGGGCTTCATAGTTCAGGACATGCCGGGCGAACCCAAGCAAACGCGAAGCCATCCATCCAACTTCTACTGCGCAGACAAACACTAAGTGGGTGGTTGTCAAAATCATGGTCCTTTTTGGATCCCCATTATAGTACGGCATCTAATATTTAGGGTACCCCAAAAGGGATCATAATTTTGACCGCCACCCAAGTGATAACAATGATGATGATGATGACATCGATGAGAATGATTAATTTGTAGGGTGAAGCCGTCGGGGATGAGAGGCCCCTCAAAAGCACTCCAAAAGCCTAATCAGCCCCCTAAACCCTAAACCCTAAACCTAAACCCTAAACCCTAAACCCTTTTGCAACTGGGCTTGGGGACTAGCCAGATCTGGGCCCCTAGCTGTCTGGGCTTCTCCTTCAGCCTGCGCAGGGCCGCCGTCATCTGATGCACCAGCAGAGGTTGCAGGCTGGTCTCGAGGGGGCTGAGCGCCGAGGTCGGCTCTGCCCTCTGTTGCTGTTTAGGGTTTAGGGTTTAGGGTTTAGGGTTTAGGGTTTAGGGTTTAGGGTTTAGGGTTTAGGGTTTAGGGTTTAGGGTTTAGGGTTTCGGGTTTCGGGTTTAGGGTTTAGGGTTTAGGGTTTAGGGTTTAGGGTTTAGGGTTTAGGGTTTAGGGTTTGGGGCTTCGGTGGGCGTTTGTAGGATATTTGGCTGCTCAATGCGCAAGCTCGTCTTTCGGAAGTCCTGGGGAGTAGTATCTCAGTTAACACACGAGGGCCCGATGAATGAAATCAAGCATGAGGCCAAGCATAGAAACACGATCACATGTTTCTGAGCTTGATGACCTTCGTCTGTGACGCCAAGCTGACCTCAAGCCCTGTCATGCTGCCGCCAAGGTACAGCTGAGGCGCCCTCACATGAGAGCTGCCCAGCGGTATCATTGGAGTCAATCTTGTCGACGTTGTCAATATGGATCTCATCGTCTAAGCAAACAAAGCTTACCTCACCAGTTTCCGCTTGAATGAACGCTGTTTTACCCTCACGTTCTGGCAGGACTTTTTTCCATCCATAACTCTAGGGGTTCTGGACTCTACAGTCATCTACCCTCGAAACAACTCAAAGCCTGGTGCTGGGAAGGACCTAAGCTACCATAGAAACGATACTACGACACTCAACAACTTACCATTCATGGCCCTATTATGGCAAGCTATTATGGCAAGGAACTTTAACCTCCTAACAAAAACCCAGGGCTTGTAGAACCCCTAGTTCTTTGTAGGGAACGAGGGAATCAGGGCCCTATTTCTACCCTTATTAAAGGATCATATAGGGCCCGAACTCCCTCATTCCCTACTAAGGGTTTAGGGTTTAGGGTTTAGGGAACCAGCCAGTAGAACCTGAGTGGCTGCCATGCCAGCTCGCGCTGGAACCCGCCCGAGTGGTCGCTCCCCACCCAGACCGTAGGTGAATTCCAGCTCGAAGGCCGAAGACTCCTGGAGAACCCTATAAACCCTAAACCCTGAACCCTAAACCCTGAACCCTTTTGAGCAACGGACTTTGGAGGCTGCCGGCAAACATGCGACTTCTTAGAAGTCACATCACGCAAAACATCACGCTGAACCCTAAACCCGAAACCCTTTTTTGCGGCTAGGACTGCTGCACCGCCTGCCCGAAACCCTAAACCCTAAACCCTAAACCCTAAACCCTAAACCCTAAACCCTAAACTCTAATCCCTCAGCCCTAAACCCGAAGCCTTGAGCCCAAAGCCCTAAGCCTGGCAGCAAGGAGGGATAGATCAGATCACCGGGGCTCTCTTTCATGCAGAGTTGCAGTCTTGATAGACCCCAGACTTGGGCATGCACCCTAAGGCTGAATTTTTTCAGAAAAGAACAGTGCTCGGTTTAGGGTTTAGGGTTGACGGTTTAGGGTTTAGGGCTACTGCAAAATGCAAGACTACCTTCAGCTGATGTCTCCTCCACACTTGGCAGCGGCACAACCGCCACGTCAGCCGGAGGAACGGCCACTGCCACTTCGACGGAGTCGGCCTTTAAGTTAATTCGGGTGAGACGGGACAAACAACGAGCATACCCCGAAACCCGAAACCCTAAACCCTTTTGTACCCGGAACTAAGCTCCAAACCCTAAGCCCTTAACCCTAACCCCCTAACCCTTGACCCCTAACCCCTAGCCCCTAACCCCTAAACCCTAAGCCCTAAACCCTAAACCCTACACCCCAGACCGCCTGCCACGCGTTGCCAGCAACAGCTCCGAAGCCGCGAGCAACTGCCTGTGATACGAGGCGAACCATCGGATGCGCCTCCTCAGGAGTGGCGGAGAAAGGCTCTTCCATTCATGCATAGGGTTTAGGGTTTAGGGCTTAGGGCTTAGGGTTCAGGGTTCAGGGTTCAGGGTTCAGGGTTCAGGGTTCAGGGTTTAGGGTTTAGGGTTTAGGGTTTAGGGTTTAGGGTTTAGGGCTTAGGGCTTAGGGCTTAGGGCTTAGGGTTTAGGGTTTAGTTTAGGTGCCACCTACCAAGCAGCCTCGCAACCACACTACATGGATGCAAAGTGTCCGACTCAAGGATAGGGGTTTAGGGTTTTGGGGTAGCTTGCTAACTAAGTGCCAGCCAGTATCTTGCACCTTTTCGTATGCCCACACGGCAATGTTGCGACCTGCAGCTTTGAATGGTCAAGTGTCGCCCGTATCGATAGCTTGTCTCGCGCCATTCTAACAAGCCCCTACTGGCACCAGGTCCCGAAGCTTTCTAGACGAAGATGATAAGACAGACAGTGCCGCAGGCTGACAGGAAACCCTGTGACCCGACCCAGCATGTCCAGCCCGCTTAACCTGGATGGAACCCCAAAACTCCCGAAGCCAGTCCGCCTTGATCCAGGACTCGCACCTAGGAATGGGAGGGTGGAGCTGGGGTAGACAGTTGAACAGACTTAAGTCGTTTTTGGGGTTTGGTTGCAGCGCAAGGCACGGTGATCATGCGGGACGCAGCGTTGTGCACCAACACGGTCCCAGAAGTCCCAGGCGTCCCGGCGACCGGTTGCGAGTTTTCAGGGGTGGCCGTGGCTTCATTGGAGGCGACATCGGCATCTGGAGCAGTGTCCTGTGTCCAGCTGGCAATGAGCTTCCTTAACTGAACTTGGAACCCTAGCAAAGATTTGAATTTTCGCATTTTTGTTGCAAATTAGAACGCCCAAAACATTAAAAAACAACACACACATTCCCAAGTATCCCTTAAGCTTCCGGACACTTGGCCTTGGCTGTTGTTGAAAACGGCCCAAGGGGTCGAAGTCCGGAGTGCGCGAGTGCTCCACCACCAAGTGCTTCCCGGCAGAGTCGCCCTGCAGCCAAAGTGCACCAATTGAGACCACGCCGAGCTCTACAGTGCCAGGCACAGGCATGACCATGGTGAGAATCAAGCCCAAGGCAGTTTGGGAGAGTTTGTCTGTCATGCTCACCTCTGGAAAGCTGTGAGCACCTCCATCTGTTGCTGAAACGCTGGCCTCACCTTGGGAAGCAACTGCCAGCAACTGAAGGGCCCGATTGAGCTTGCGGAACTGCGAGTCTGCACTCGTCCGCAGATTCTTCAGCGCACTCATGACCTGCAAGGTCTGTTCGCGCAGCTCTGCACAGAATGCAGGCTCAAAGCAGGCCAGTGCAGAGTGTGAGACCTCTGCTGCCTCGGTCCGCACGACCAGGGCTGACCGGAGGAAGCCATCCAAAGATGTGGAATCAGGTAGGCGCGGAACGCTCCTTGCAGTCGCTAGGAGTTGCCCAGCACTGGTGATAGCTTGCTTTGTTACGCTCACGAGCTGCGCATCAAACCTCGCAGCCCATGCTTCACGCTTCTCTGCCCACAACCGCACCACACGAGCGGGGTGCTGCCCGACGGAAGGTTCCGTGGCAGCTGTGTCTGGCTTGCCCTTGCCATCACCAGAAATGTGGCACAACCGCGCCCACAACGGATCCAGCTGTTTGTTGCGTACATGCTCCAGCCAAATACAGCCCTCAAGCAACAGCTGGAAATCCGCAAGCAGGCCTGCAGTCTCGCACCCGTCTTGCCGCAAGTCTTCCCAAAGAGCTCCTTGACGAACCGCGTGGGAATTCACAGCCGCCCTCTCTTGTTCTATGACACGCTGCTTGTAGGCCACTCTGTCGCCGCACGCGGCCAGCCAGCTCTCGCACCTCTCGGGCTTCTCATCGACCGCTTTCAGATATCCTTAGCGGTGAGCAAGATTGTGCGAGCAGGATTTCTCTCCGGTCTTTTGCCACTTTCTCACCCTTATCATCCCTTATCCCAGTACACCACCTGTGCAGTTGCTCCAAGTGAGGCAACTGCTGGTTTATATCTGGGATGCCCCGAGAGCCCCTGAAAGGCCCTTTAAACCCAAACCCTCTAAACCTTCGTAGATTCCGAGCGCTTCTCGTGCCCTGTCGAGGTTGTCGGCTTGGCCCGATAGCCGCTGCAGCTGCGCGTCCGTCCAGCGGCTCGGAGTTGAAGAGGCGGCTGAGCTGAGTGATGCAATCTCCTTCTGGCCGTCGCCTCCGATGCAGGTGTGGGTGGCCCTGAAATGGGATACTTTCTTGGGGGAGGTATCTTGCCCTTCCTGACCTGTCAGAAGGGAACAATATGTAATCACTGTAGTCGCAAACCAAGACAGCTGCCGGAGCTTGGGGGGTCCTGACCGGGCCATGTCACGTAACTTCTCCTCAACCGTCGCAAGGAAAGCCTTCAGGCTGTGGCCAAGTTCGGTGATCGCAGGTAGGGCACTGGGCGACGTGGCAGCGGACGGCATGTCCCAGCTGGGGGCTTTCCCCTGGCTATCTTGAACATCTGGATTCTCAGAAGCTTTGTGTATGCTCGGACTCCAGCCAGCGTCGCTGGCCGCACTTACCGTCACCACCATCTTCTGATTGCCGGCTGGAAGCAACTCTCCTGGAAAGCGAGCCCTCCAGCTGGAGTTGATGATATGCCTGGCCACTGTGCTGCCCTTCATGCAGCTTGTCGTATCTACGAAAGATGCATCTCGGAGCGTGCAGTTGAAGTCAACTGCGCACAGGAACGTACGGGAGCCGCGCTCATCCATCAGAATATCGACAATCCAGTCTGGCTGGCTGCCCGGCATGTTGCCTGGGACCTGTGCCAAGAGGCATCCTTGGTAGCCCAGCTACCATGATATCGTAATAAGGGCACCCTTTTTGGGGTTGGTTACTTTAAAAGGGAACCTTGAACCAAGAAAAAGGGAAAAAGGGTACCACTGGCCTACCCAGCATCTGGAGATGACCGGCGGACGTGCAGTGAAGGCCTTCAATGGCTCAGACCATTCCGACCAGCCTGCAATATTGCCAGTGCGGATCCGCATGACATACTCCACGCCGGGCTTCAAGCACCCAAAGCTCGCTACCCAGGTGGTGCTAATGGCCAGCTCCTCATCTTCACAAACCTATACTGAACTTGGAACCCTATAGCAAAAATTAATTTTTTGCTGTTTCTTAGGAATTAAAGTACACCCAAAAACTAAAAAAACATATTTCCAAGTAGCCCTAAGAAACCATGTCGTGCAGCGTTGGCTGGCGCAAGAGCAGGAAGTCCTTCGGCGCCGCCCAGCCGGAGAACAGCGTGAAGAGAGAGGACTCGCAAATCTGTGCCTCCGACTCGGAGATGGCTCCACCCAAAGGATCCCTCTGGTCCCAACAGATCCGCAGCTCATACCTGGGATGGCCCTTAAAACCCTCTAAAACAAAAACAATTCTTGAATATATCTTCCTTCTAAAACCCAATAAGGGAAAGTACAAACATGTCCCCAAAGGCCTAGCTAGATACGGCACCTGGTGCTGACCTTCGCGCAGCTGGGGAGTGTCGGGCCGGCAAACGGTGTGGCATGCGAAGGGCTCGGATTTTCGGCTCCATCCGACCTCGTTGGCAACATCCAGGCGGAAGGTGTAGTGGGAGTTTGGCTCCAAACTGCGAACCACCACTGCAAATGCCCTTAGTGTGAGCTCCGCATTCCAGAATGGGCCTTAGTTGTCCAGTACCTAGGAGTTTGAAAGGTTAACCTTTGGGATTATAAGGGGAACATATTACCCCAAAAAGGTTAAAAGCTTAAAGGTTACCTACTCTACTACTAAAAAGGTTAAAAGGTTAAAGGTTACCTACTCTACTACTCAGGGGCCCAGATCGACATCCTCAACCGTGGGCTCCATAGCGCTGCTCTCAACTGTCTCCATCGGCTCGAAGTCCAAACACTGCGACGGGAGCTCATTCCTCTATTCCCCTTAGAACCTTTAACAAAATATAATATTGTTATTCCTATATTCCCCTTAGAACCTTAATAAAAAATATAGTATTGTTAATATCCTCTTGGGTTTTTATATAAACAAGAATAAAAAAATGATTCCCAAAGGAGATATAGATTCCAGACCAACACCCCGGCTTGCTCCACCCGCACTTTGCTGACGCGCTCCTCCTGCCCGAAGTTGCTCGGCACCTTGAACTCGATCCGCACATGGTTTCTTCCTTCAGATTCAGTGCAGCAATATAGAAATAACTATGACAATAGTTATACAGAAATATTGATTAATACAATAATAACAATTATGACTATCACTATTATTCTTAAAAGTTGCTCTGGGGCGGGTGCTACGAAACTATGCCTACGAAACTATGCTTTTTTGTGCTGCCCAGCTGCCCGCTTCGACACACTGCAGCTGTCTGGGCTTGTGAGGCCGCTCAGCTGTCCGGCAGCTGATCTGAGCGGGTTCAGCGACTGACCAGCCGACCTCATTCTTTGCGCGAACGCGGACCTCACGGACAGGCTGGACTGGATCCCTGTACCGTACCCGGAACGTACGTAGTGGAGGCTGGGACGTTGTGTGAATCATAACACTCAAGGGTTCTCAGCATGTCTATTCCTGTACCCTCGTGGAGAGCAACCACTGCCCATCGCACTCCCAAAGCTGCTAGCAGCTAACATCAGCTAACAGTATATCATCTGACATCGCCTGAATCAGTGCACCCGCACACAGGATAAGTGCAGCATAAGCTGCCTCCATCACCTACCATTAGACTGGGATGTAAACTCCAGGAAAACTCTGGCTAGTGGCGAATTCCTCTCCCAGTGTTAGTTTGGGTTTAAGCCGCCCACAAATGCCCCTACAACCCTGAAGCTTTTCGAAGTACCCCCCCTTGAGAGGCTCCTTGAGGGGCTTCATGGCTCTGAGCACTTCAAAATTAAAAGCCACGGCTACGCGGAAGTCGCTCTCCGTGGTCAGGCCAATGGCTCGAGCTCGCCAAGTGCCTCTGCTGGTCGAAAAGCTCAGGGTGTAGGCTGGGTCTATGCAGGATTATCAGGATTAAGGGAAGGCGATACATCGTCACTGATTTTTCAATGACAGTGGCTTGTCTATCGGTTTCGCGAAGCATCGAGCAAGGCATTCGCGGGGTCTGGGCACACATTGGGTTTAGGGTTCAGGATTACAGGGCTTCGAGTGTCTAAAGGTTCCTATAGGTTCTGATTATATTTCAAGTTTTTTCGGGCCGGGCCCGGGGACGGGGGGGGCTTTGCATCTTAATCGGGTAGCAAATGGGTGGAGATACGCTTGCAACTTCATGCTTCCCGAAGCTTTACATCCCTATAACTCAACTCTCTCCAGCTGCTCTCCCAGGCACTTCGCCCACACAGCCACAGGCAACTCCTCGCAAGAGGTATCCAGGTGCTGAGGAAGTTCTCCCGGCTCACCTCCCAGCTTGGTATGCTGTCTCGGGGGCTCAGCCCTCGAGGTGAGGATGGTGTCTACCCTAAACCCTAAACCCTAAACCCTAAACCCTAAACCCTAAACCCTAAACCCTAAACCCTAAACCCTAAACCCTAAACCCCAAAACCCCAAAACCCCAAACCAAGAACCCTAAACCCTAAACCCTGAACCCTGAACCCTAACCCAAAGATAGCTGCGGAGTGCCCAATGCGGCATCACATGGGGGGCGCGGCTCATGCGTTCGTGCTCGGTTCGCCTCGACGCTGCATTCCAAGACTGGAGCCCCATCTGGATCCCGGGTGCGCCACTGGACCTGGCTGAGGCAAACTTTCAACCCTTGCTCTACTGGGAGGTTCATGGTGCCTAATCACCAATTCTAACTGTACTTATAGCCCACTTATACGCCCCTGAAGTGCCCTAGTATGGTTACCATGAACCTCTGCTCTAGCTACAAGATGCAACGACCCAAAATGGGAAAGGATCGCCAAACAGAGAACTGTAAGACCTGAAAAAGAGCTATGTTTAGACCTATCTACGCTTCTTATTTTTCTTCTTCTGCTTCTTCTTATCGGCTCGGCTTCTGTCCTTCAAGGTACCATGTGTCGGACGTGCCCTGTCACACGCCTCCAGCCACGTGGCCCCACGCACGATGCAGCACAGGTCGTCGACTTTCGCAGGCCTGCGCTCACAGCTGGAGTTGTCGTCGCAACGCAACGCCCACTCTGCAGAAACATGACGGCACTGAGTCAGTATGAAGAGTTTAAAGGCATCCCCCTCTTCATGGAACGGTCTGCGTGGTCAGCAGTCGAGAGTGGTGATCTCCCTCCGAACCTTAAACCGAGTGTCTGACGTCCTCATAAAGCTTCTACGGCTACTACAGTCGCAAAAGCACATGCCATGGCTGTTGCTGCGTTTAGAGCCGCAACATTCCTACTGTGATTCCTCTATTCTTGTTAATGACTCTAACTCCTGATGCCTACCCTATTCTGCATAGTTCCCCATACCTTCCCCCGGCAACATTGTCGTCAAGTTCCCAAGCTCTTCAACTTAAACCCTGTAGACCCTATAAACCCTAAAATCCCTAAAAACCCTAAAAGCCTGGTGAAAACCCTGTAAACCCTATAAACCCTAAAATCCCTAGAAACCCTAAAAACCCTAAAAACCCTATGAGCCCTAAAAACCCTAAAAACCCTATGAACCCTATGAACCCTAAAAACCCTATGAACCCTATGAATCCGAAAAACCCTAAAAACCCTAAAAACCCTATGAACTCTATGAACCCTAAAAACCCTAAAAGCCCTATGAACCCTAAAAACCCTAAAAACCCTAAACACCCCCAAACCCCCAAAAAAACCTAAAAACCCGAAACCCAGAACCTGTCGGAGGGCCGGCATGCCAAGGGCTGCGATGGTTGTAGGGAGCGGCCAGCCTTGGTCGACACGAGGTTTAGGGTTCAGGGGGGTTTAGGGTTTGGGGTTTAGGGTTCTTTTCAGGGGCTTTAGGGCTTCTTTTTCGCTCTCGCATAGCTGGCTGAACCGCAAGGCAGGGTTTGAATGTGGTTTTTTTTGCCACCTGCCCAGCTGCTACAATGTGGATTTGGGGTTTAGGGCTTTGGGTTGGGGTATTTAGGCTTTACTGAGGAGCTAAACCCTAAACCCTAAGCCAAAAACCCTAAACTCTAAGCCCTAACCCTATAAGCAGCACAGGGGTTGATGTTTTTGCTTGCCTGGGTTCAGCCTGTTTGTGTCTTGCAGACGGGCACCCTAAACCCTGAACCCTAAACCTTAGACCCTAAACCCTAAACCCTAAACCCGAAACCCTAAACCCTAGCCCTGAACCCTTACAAGGGCCCTTCTAAGGCCTAACATCGTCAGGACTCCCGAGCCCAGCGGCCTTGTTCACCGCCCAGAGACGGAGCCAGATCGTCTGTTCAGGCTTCAGCTCCCCAACCTCAAGCAAAGCACCCTAAACCCTAAACCCTAAACCCTAAACCCTAAACCCCAAACCCTAACCCTTTTTTTGCGACAGGCTTCTTTGGCTGTGCCATACTGTTCTCCGACCTAAACCCTAAACCCTAAAGGCCCTAAACCCTAAACCCTACACCCCAAACCCTAAACCGGGGGCGGTCATGACTACACCCCACGCTGAGAGAAGCACCAGGCACTGGGCTCCCCCCAAGCATTCTCCAAACCCACCTATAGAATCAATAGATACAACCATAAACCCCATAGGATATAGGAAATTACAGTCTAGTATTGCAGACTATAAGATTGGGGATGGGAGGGGGTTGTGGGTTCTTTGTGGTTCTTTTTCTTGACCCTCCGACTGGGAAGCTTGAAGTGAAGCGCGAGCCAGATCCCAGGCAAGATGCTGTGACCATCGCGCGTCGCACATCTTTGGAGCGCGTTGGCGCGGACGCCTCTGCATCCTGGCGTCGTTTAAATCAAACCCATGTTGCGGCTCAATTTGGGTTTAGGGTATAGGGGCAAAAGCTATAGGTTGCTGACTGTTTGGCCTTCTTGTTCTTGGCATTTGGGCACGGAGAGGACGTCAAGAAAAAAATCCGGAAACATGTGCCTTGAGCTCATAGACTTCAAACCATGTGGTGTTTGAGGCCCAAGTGCGGAATTGCATCCCAAAAGATACTGTCGCCTGAAGATCCCTGAGTTACAGGAGAGTCAATCCAGCTTGCTTTTTGTTGCTGTTTGAAAAACCCTAAGCCCTAAGCCCTAAACCCTAATCTCTTTGTTGGTGGAAGATGGACCCGAGGAACTTCCCAGACTTCTAGAGCCCTGGCCTGCAGCGACACCTGAAAGTTGAGCGGCGTCTGCCACCACCACGTTGCCGCATCCAAGATGTAGCCGATGCCATCAGCACTCTCTCCAGGAATCACTCCAGCGATGCCACCCTCAGGCTGCTTCAAGCAGTATTCTGGCTCAATATGTGAGACTGGACACCCATCAGCATCTGTAAACCTTACTTCTCCAAAAACCCAGGCAGAAACGGTTAAACTTCTTGCTATTCCTACTAAATATAAGGAAACCCGAAGAGTTTTAAAGTTCAGCGATTGGCTGAGTAACTTGGTTGTCCAGTGCCTAGGGGTTTGAACGGTTAACTTTTGGGGTTATAAGGGGAAATATAATACCCTAAAAAGGTTAAAGGTTACCTACTCTACCACTTTAAGGTAAGAGGCTCGAACTCCACCTCCACTTTGCCTGGCTTCCTGGACAAGATCTTGAGCTTGCTCGGGGGATCCGGAGGCTCTGATGTGCGGCAGACCTCCTCATCCGAAAAATCCGTACACCACCCGACGGTGTTGCGGGCCTTCACCCGGAAGTGATAGCTGGTAGCAACTTTGAGGTTGGGAATGACGGCACTCCACGTCTCTTCGTGGTCGGTCGCCTTGCTTCCTTTGCCTAGGTTGGCCCTTTGAAACCCTCTGAAACAAAAACCCAATTCTGATCCTCTTAAACCCAAATTATGGGAAAAACGCCAAAAAAGTCCCAAAACCCTACCGGGTTGCTATCTGCCACGGCCACATCTTCCAGCGCAAAGACATCTTGCCAAAGGCTGAAGAGCTCCTGCGAGTACAGCTGGACCTGGCACTCGAGGATCGGGGCGCCTGTCTCAGGGCTTCCGAAACTGGGGGGGGTGGGAGACCATTTTTGGGGGTCCTTACTATAAGGGACTCCTACTATTACTATTATTAGGGGTTCCTACTATAAGGGACTCCTACTATTGGGGAACCTTTTATTACGGGTCCTTATGATAAGGGAATCCTACTATCGGGGGACTAGATTGACTAGATTAGGAGCCCTTTCTTTTCGCAAACCCCCTCCTGTCGGGGTCCTCACCTTCCACTCAATCTGCAACTTCTCGGGCCATCGGGCCTTGTCAGCCCAGCAACCGTATCGTAATAAGGGCACCCCTTTCTTGAGCTGCTTACTTACTTTTATACGGGAACCCATAGCCAAAAAAATGTAAGGGTTGGTTACTTTATAAGGGAACCCATAACAAAAAAAAAGAAGGTAAAGGGTTGGTTACTTTACAAGGGGACCTTGAACCCCTAAAAAAGGGAAAAGGGTACCTCTGGGGCTGCCAAGGGGCTAGGCACCGAGGTGGACTGGAGCGCTGCGGCCTACCCAGCGTCTCACCTGGTTCACGGTTGGGATAAAAATTAACACGTTTTTAATGTTACTCCTTATTGGGTTTAAGTACCCTAAAAAATGTTTCCTTAGTGGGTTTAAGTACCCTTAAACATGTTTCCTCTTTGGGTTTAAGTACCCTTAAAAATGCAAAATGTTACCCAACTCTGACAAAGTCACACTCGCAGTGGAGGCTCCACTTTCTTGCCGCGTCTGCCGGAGGCACGAGGCGGATGCTGTACTTTGTCTCCTTAGCGCTGTGGCCGTGCTCTACACGCACGTACCGTCGTAACAGCAAGAATGAATGTACCATGGTATCTTCAGTGGCCAAGAGTGACCGAACTGCCTCCCTAAACCCTAAACCCTAAACCCTAAACCCTAAACCCTAAACCCTAAACCCTAAACCCTAAACCCCTCAGAGCTTCGGGCTGCAGACTGGAGATCTGCACGTGATACAGGTCTTTCGAACCTGCTGCCAGCGTGGTGGAGGCATCCTTCCCTTCCACGAGCTCTTTCCAATCTTCGCTCCTGTTTAGGGTTAGTTTAGGGTTTAGGGTTTAGGGTTTAGGGTTTAGGGTTTAGGGTTTAGGGTAGCCCAGTAACCATATTACAATCAGGGCACCCTTTTTTGGGTTGGTTACTTTCTAAGGGAGCCCAGAAGCCAAAAAAAAAAAGTAAAGTGTACCACTGGGCTACAAAGGCTCTGAAACCAGCTGCCAGGAACCAGGACTTGCACCTAAAGCAAAGCGAAACACGCTTTGGCGTGCTCTGTGACTACGTGTGGGCTGTCTCCTCCCTCCCCCCCCCCCCCTAATTTTGAAAACAAATCCTTCCCCTCCCCCATCCCCCGCCCGGTCATCTCCCATAATCATAGACATGGGTATTTCCCCAAAATCGGGGATACCCCTCCTATAACCCAGATAGAAGACAGACGGGACCCCCCCCCACCCCCTCAGAAAGGGAACCTCTATGTTCGGAAACCGGAAACCCCCGCATGCCACAAGTGTTGTTTTTTCATCTTCGGATCTCCAAGCACTCTAATTGATTGGGCTCCAAGCGGCCGAACATGTTTTTTCGTCCCATTCTCAAGCCGGCGGATTCCGGAAGCTTCTGAAAGGGGATGAGGTTCGGGATCGGATCTTGGGGAATCTTTCTTTTCATATTCGGAGGGTTATAAAGCGGACCGCAAGCTAGGGGGGGAGGGGGGGTGGAACGCATCGCTCACAGAAGTCGCGGAAAGATGGCCTGTGAGTAGCACATGCCGAGGCACGATCCACGGAGGCTGTACATCGCCAGGCGAGACCTCCAGCGTGAGGGAGCTCACGCCGCGCTGCGTGCATATGACCGGCTGCATCTCGCCACGGTGCGGGCATGGCCGAGAGCAATGAGCACGACATCTGGGGACAAGGGCTTCCCAGAGAGCCCAATACCCCTTAACTAAGGAATAGACCTTAAATTATGTCTAAGGATCCTGAATGTGGTTTAAGGTTTGAGGTGTATTCCTTATTTAAGGGGTATTGGGGCTCTTTGGGTTCTGTGCACATGCTTTACTTTGCCGCAGCCGTCCAGCAACAGCGGGACTGTCAGGCACGTAGCTGGGTACGTGATGTCTGGGTGTACTTAGGACACTATAGGGTTTAGGGTTTAGGGTTTAGGGATGTGCCCTGGCATGTTTTCGACTCAAGCTGCATGCGCTGGTATCAAGAGCTTCTCGAGCTGCAGTCTGCCGGCGACAAGACGAAGCAAGCCTCAAGCCCTAAAATCCTCTCTTTTTTTGGCACCCTAAAGTCCCTAAAGTCCCTAAACCCTAAACCCTAAACCCTACTGGGCTGGGGGACTGGCCAGTCTGAGGAGTGTACATGCATGCCACCCTAAACCCTACACCCTAAACCCTAAACCCTAATATCAGGAAATAATGAGGCTCGCACCCTGGCTGCGATCGAAACAGATGCCTGGACCTCAGGCAGACGCTCAGGATTCCTCAAACAAAACCCACACACACTAAACTAAACCCCAGTGCAGTCTAGGGTGTTGGGTTCATCTATATGTATAGAAGGTACAATATATATATATATATATAAGCATATCTATATATATATATATACATACATACATATATTTACAGATATATGTGCATATATAGTTCGTATATAGGGTTTCGGGAACCCAGTGAGCACATGGGGAAGCAAGGGCCCCAACTTTCAGATTCCGCTGCCGGCGTGGGCGCGCTGGTCCTGCAACTTAGGGTTCAGGGTTCAGGGTTCAGGGTTTAGGGTTTAGGGGTTAGGGTTTAGGGTTTAGGGCTTCAGGGCTTCAGGGGGTGTGGGTGTGTAAGGTTTAGGGTGTTTGGGGTGTGGGGCTTTCAGGGTTTCAGTTTGGGTTTCAGGGGTTCAGGGGTTTCCGGGTTTAGGGCTTCAGGGTTTAGGGGTTTCAGGGGGTTTGAGGGAGTTGAGGGGTTTCAGGGGTTTAGGGCTTCAAAACAATAACCAATAAACAATAATATTCTCTATACTACCCTTAATAAGGAAGAATATTTTGTCGGGTTTCTTCAGCAAGTAGTAGATTATGCCCCTTTTGCAACCGGGACTCTGCCAGTCGGGGTGCCCCCTGTCTTCGGAAACCCCCCCCATGTTGCTTCACCACACAAGCCTCTCGGCGACGGCCGCCGCCTCCACGCCGGAAGCTCTTTTTCTCATGGGTTGGGGGCTTCGGAATCATAATTTTAATAATATAGGGCTCGGCACTAGGGTTTGACGTGTGGGATTCAAGATTCAAGTTGGGCTGCTCTCCCCTTTTGCTAACAGCCCCTAATAGATTCTGATAGCGGGGTACAAGAATCCCTTTTCAGGACTGCCTAAGGGGGAACATCCCAAGATTCAAGCATCGAAGAAGATCCAGGGCCCTGCCTCTTGCTCCCGCAGCCAAGCAGCGTGCTCCTGACACGTGGATCGAGTTCACTTCTTGAATGCCTTTTTGTCCACTCAGTTACTACTACTTGCTTAAGAACCCCCCCCCAAAAACAAAAATATGTTCTTCCTTATACTGGTAATCGAGGGGTTCTTCGAATATTCTGATTTTTTTTTTGGGGGGGAGGGGGTTCTTAAGCAAATAGTCGATTGCATGCTGGAGCCCACTGGAGGCCCTTGTGAAGTGGCGCATTTTGTCTCGGATTTCTGCTAAGATCTCCACACATGGTCGTGTCCAGGTCTATCGTGGCCTTCAAGAAGATGGGCACGGTTTAGGGTTTAGGGCTTCGGGTTTAGGGCTTAGGGTTTAGGATTTAGGGTTTAGTGTTTAGGGTTATCCATACCCCGTGATAGCACTAGGCGGCCTAGCTCTATGCCTTCGCGGTCTCCAGTTCTCTGCGTGCTTGAAGGCTCGCGAAAACGCCTTGTGTCGTTCACACGGTGCGAATTGTGCCCCAGAAAAATAATTCAATGCCAGTGGTCAGACCTCAGCACACACCCGCCGGATGGCCAGGCAATTGAAGTACAAGTTGACACACCGATAAGAGGATGTTGTCGCTCCCGGCCCTAGAAACATCTGGCACAAACAGGTGTTCTACTCGTCTGGGCGAGGCGATTGCCATCGGCCCTTGCTGAGTCCAGGTCTCAAGTGCAACTTCATGTTTACGTCTTGTGACAAATGAGCTTCTGGGCATGCAGTGATTCTAGGCTCGTCATTCCACCATTCGATCATGTGCTGCGCGAGAAGGATCAAGCCACGCCAACTATAAACAGTGAAGTAATCCATGTCGATTATGTCGGTGAGAGTGCGTAAAAAAGAGGCCTGCGGATATTCAAGGTAACCCCCCCCCCCTCCCCCCCCCCCCCCCCCTTCACCAACAAACCCCCCTCTATCCCCCTCCCCCCCCCCCCCCCCCCTCCCTACAATAAAGGGGGGGGGGAAGGGGGGGGGGGGGGGGGGCCCCCCCCCCCCCCCCCCCCCCCCCATGCTCAATTCCACATTTCCTCTGCCATGTTTGGTAGGATTCCTATTGCTTTTTATTCGGAATCCTTCTAATTTCAAGAGGATTTCTATTAATGTAACAAGATTTCTATTTGCCTTCTTTTTTCGTAGCATTTCTAATCGGACTTCTACTAATTTTAATAGCAGTTCAATCAATTGTAATAGGAGTTGAACTTAATTCCACAAGGATTTCTATTATTTCAATACGAATCCCGTTAAACCTAATACAAATCTTATGAGAAGGGACAAAAATCTCATTCATATTATTAGAAATCTTTCAAAAGTAACAAAAACCCGATTAGAATCAAAAGAAGTCCTATTAAAACGTTAATTAAAATCAAGTGAAACCCTATTAAGAACACTGTTATTGACCAGGGGGGGCCCCCCCCCCCTTGAACAAGGGGGGGGGGGGGCCATTGAACAAGAGAGGGGGGGGGGGGGGGGGGGGG